CTTAGACAGATCTAAAAGGGCACTACTGCGTCTGTGATCCAATACAGGTGTTTTATAACCAGTCCCTGGATTTGAAGAAGAGTCTTAAGCCATGTCATGTGGGGGCAATTAGAGACAAAAGCTGTTACGTCAATTGACAAGAGAAGGCAAGAGCAGCAAATCATTCTTTCTTGTTAAGGTCCACAAGTACACGGAGTCGGGAAAAATCCAATGGTATTGTGTACTATGTGACATAGCAAATCAAATTTGCTATAAGAATGCTTGTATGCATTTGAACATAATGCAATTTTGATTGTGCATGTCAGTCTTTTCGCTCGCACTTAGCTGTAGCTTTTATTGGATTTAATGTCAATATTTCTCGTGAAAATTTAAGTCATGGCATTGACCTATCTTTTCTTTGAAAATATATATATACACGCATTCGAAATATCTTTGACAACAGTTGTATAATTGTAACATTTCAGCCATTGTCCGATTTATATAGCTGGGATCACCTTCTAGGATCCATTTATTCAACGCATGCAGGAGATTTTTGGGAAGAATATTCAATATATAATAATAATCATTTGACTACTTTAATTATATGATTTTTTTCTATTACATTGCACCAATCAATTTGATTTCTGGTACTGATTGTAGTTCCTCACTTTCTCTCTGATTATCCTTAAGGAAAGGCAGTGAAAATATTAAAGAGAAACGACATAAAAAATATAATTAATCGAGCAATCTATATATACATGCAAGCACATAAAAGTATGAATCTTTTAGAAATTTTGATTAACTTTTATATCCTTGATGTAGTACTAATATTATAATACATTTCCGATTGCAAAACGTAAATTCCACTCTAATTAAGGGGAAAAGCTGACATTGAAGAAATTCTAAAAAGATAAATTATTTAAACATAAAAAAAGGTTAATCTTGTTTTTTTTTCTTATTTATTAATCACATAGAACCTAAATAACATAAAATAAGATTTACAAATCACTCCGACTCTACATATTACGTTATTAGCTCTTTAATTTGTCTATAAAAACTCTAAAAATCTTAGAAAAAATCCCCAAAACAACAAAAATATTGAAATCTAGAAACAATAAAACTAAAATAAAGTTAATCAAATTATTTAACTGGATACTGATGCTCATGCATATACTATTAAGTTCTATTCACATTACATATATTTAAAAATAGCTCTTTCAAATAAAAAGATTAACTATAATATCATATTATTGTACTAAAATTAAGTTATTAGAACCCTGAAATAGAATTTTATTCATATAACACAGATTTCATATTCATATAATATTAATAGATTTATTTAAATAAATGACTCTTTTTGACAAAATAATTTAGAAAGATTGTAATAATAATATTAATTAATCATGATAGAAAAATACACAACAATATCATAATATTAAAGCTTAAATACTAGCATCATACATATGAGGGTTTATAAAGTTTTATTTCTTAAATTGTTAAGTTGAAAGATTATTCAACTATAGATATTTTCTAAATATATGTGATCACAATCAAACTTTAAAAACAATATTAGATTATTTATTATCATATTTGTACCTTATTATTTAATTATATTTAGGTTTTACATATATCGAGACTCCATGCAATTTGAATTTTTTTTTATTAAGATCATAAGTTTTTTTTTTGTTCAATTTAAAAGTTCTATTTTTATATTGTTATTGTTTCGAACCCTAATATGTCACTTAAGCACATTTGGCAAGCTCTAGCTAATCAGCTTGTCACATGTCATGATGAGTCCAAATTGAATGATTGAATTAGAGATGTGGCAAATTGTCATTCGCTAGAGCTTACTACGTGTGCTTACGTGGTATATTAGGGTACGAAACAACAACATAATATGTTGTACAATTTGAATTTTTTTATTCGGATCCTAAGTTTTTTTTTTTTGTTCAATTTAAGAATTCTACTCTTATATTGTTATTGTTTCGTACCTTAATATATCACGTAAGCACATATGGTAAGCTCTAGCCAATGATAGTTTGTCACGTGTCATGATGGACACAAATTGGATGATCGAATTGGTGTCAATGTGGCAAGCTGTCATTGGCTAGAGCTTACCATGTGTTCTTATGTGGCACATTAGGATTTGAAACAATAACAACGGAAGAGTATAACTCTTAAATTAGATGAAAAAAATTTAGAATCTTAATAAAAAAAAACCGAATTGTAATATGCGTAAAACCCAATTATATTTATTACCTATAAGAGATCCCAACATATCATACCTATACTTTGATAGCTTGATCATTGTTATTTTCATCATATAATTTAAACTAACTTAACTTTTATAATGAAATGAACAAAAAATAATGTTTTAATTTTTTAAATTGGAAAAAACTATGCATATACGTTATAATAAACACGAAACTCCTTTTCTCTTTTTATTTCTTTTATTTTTTAAAGAAAAAGTGGATTTTTTTTTAAAAAAAAACATATGATAATAAAAATAAAATTTCAATTTCTAACTACACGATAAATAAATTGGTGTAAATACTTTGATGATTATTGTTTTTAAGAGAACTAATTATAACTAACCACACACACACACACACACACACACACACACACACACACACACACACACACACACACACACGTATATATATCCTAAATCCTAACAATTTTTTTTATTTCAATGCAATTAAAATTTATTCATATATTTTAAAATTAAAAAAATTAAATTAATTACAAATTATCAAGTTTCATTTAAAACTATTCAAATTTTAAAAATTAGCATTTCAAATTAATAAATCCTAAAAATATTAATTCAAAAATTTTCATTAAAGATGATAAGAAAAATATTATAAAATAATTGAATAATTCACAAAAACTAGCATGCATGCGCACACGCAATCTCACACACACACACACATATTGAAAATCAATGTAGCTAGGCTATATTATCCTACCATAGCTCACTCCAATAAGTTTAAGTGCATAGTAAAATTATGGTTGGCATATTTGTACGACGTAGTTATTGACTGTACCCGATCGACTACTCCAATTTTATGGGGACCAATACATGTTAATGCTTTGCTAAACCTTGCTTTTTTAGAATTCATCTTCAGACCACTTATTTATAGCCCTTGCTGTCCATGATCATAAAGGCATGGCATATTCATTGATTTATCAAGGCTTATTGCTATTTAACATGGATAATATGACTAACTTTCTTAAGATTTGGCTATGCTAGCAGCAGATGGGTTTGCTCTTTATGTTATATTTTGGATTTTTTTTTATTCGATGGTAAGGAGTATTTAAAGACTAGTTTATGTATCAATTAAAATTAAAAAATTTCTTTTAAATAATTTTAAAAATACACTTTTTACGTCAATCTGATGCATTGATGGAAGTTTTTTTGGATGCTGATCTTAATTATGTTCAAATTTAAAAAGTTAAAGAAGAAATAAACCACCTTAACTACGAGAGAAAAGAATTTCTCACAAAATACACCACCAATACAAATGTAAAGAGTTTGCCTATAGAAAATCCCATTGGAGAAAACCTTAAAAGAGTTTTTTTTGATGTGTGAAAATTTACCTTGATCATACAGACCACGACCAGTGAAATAAAAGGAAACGGTACTTTAAACGTCGTGTGAACCAATTTCACTTTGTCGTATCGTTGTTAGGTTACATCATTTTCATAGTAATCAAAATAAACCTTGTTGGAGGAAACAAGCAACAGGCTCTTGATTGGGTCCATGCATGAAGATAAACCAGCGGTCCCCACGCCAGTGAATGATGATGGTTTTTGTTTCAATGTGGGGTTTGATCATCGATTGAGTCCCTACACTGGATGTATAATGGCAAATGCAAAATGATACCGAAATTGAATGATCATAACAATCAACTTTGTACGTGTAATTTGAGGCCACAAGAAGGATGGCAGTACAGGCACACATTGCTTGCATAAAAGGTTAAACTTTGATAATTGTGTTGATATGTTACGTAGCCTCAAGATCCAACAAAATGGTCTCCACATCTGTGCCTTTTTATGTTTCGATTTTTGGAATAAAAAAGAAAAAATAATAAAATCATTAATTGATGTTACGGCAGATTTTGTTTGCCTAGTGGAAGACAAACTTCAAGTGTCAATTAAAGAGCAGGGTTAAAAAAAGGCTGTGAGTGTTGTTGCATGGTTCCAAAAGAAACCTTAGCTAGTAAAGCTGCTCAACAAAAGTGGGTTGTGATCTTTGAGAGTCATGAGGAATTTATGAATGCCCTTTAATGCAATGTACTATTTACCCTCCAGATAGAGACTATTAACCTTTGGTGTACCAAAATTGGTCCACACCAGAAGAATTGCCACTGATCAAACTGATGGCAATTCAGCCCAATTTATTGGACATCTACCTCTATTCTGATTTTTGCCCTGGCTAACGTAGGAGATGGACCGGGACGGACAGGTTTGATTGAATAGTAATATCTTAAATATTTTTAATGAGTTATATAACTCCATTGACAACTTTCTGTTATTTTTTAAATTAGAATTCAACCTTTTTTAAAAAAAATATAAAAATAAAAGTTCAGAATTGATCCGAATCAACTTAGCCTAAATCCTAATTCGACCCAATCCGGCTCGTCCCGCTCTCTAATTTCAAGAGGCCTAGCTCCTGAAAACTATAGTGAGAATCAGCCAAGCCCACTTTCTTGAGTCAGAATATCATTAGGACCATTAAATGTTATTGGGCTACGAGCCATATTAAGCCCAAAACTGGTAACCCTAAAAGCCAGCAAGCCCACTTTGTCGAGTCAGAAAATCAGCAGGATCATTAAATGTTATTGGGCTTCGAGCCATATTAGGCCCAAAATTGGTAATTCCTTAAAGCCCATTTTAAAACAACCAACTTAACTTCCCTTCAGACTCCAGCGACAAAAGCACCAAGAAAACTGAATTGACTTCAAAATCAGACAATAAAACCTCTGTTCTAAACGAAAAAGATCCCAAAAAAATTCTCAATGAAGTGGGAGAGATTCTTATCGATCCCAGTTTGTAGTGCGTTTTTGTTGATGGGTTTTGTTTATTACATAACGGTTTTCGTATGTATTGAAGATTTGGTTGGGTTACGGAGCTCAGCTGGGACTTTGAATGCTACGATCTTTACTTTTCTGGCTTCTTCGTGTCTCTTCACCTTTCTTGTCTGTGTTTTAACCGACCCTGGTTATGTTCCTTCCCCTTATGTTCCTGATGTTGAAGGAGATGCTGTCCCGCCACATCAAAAACCACTTAATAACGTAAGTAATATATCCGCAAACATTATATGTCTCTTTTCTTTTTTACTGTGTATGCCTGAATATTGATGTGTTTTGTATCTTTTTATTTGATTTTGGATTGTTTATGAGAAAAATTGAGGAAAAGGAAGAAAGGTGAAATCTTGAGTGTCATTGTTTGTGTTTATGATTTGGTTTCTGAAGTTATGTTCTTTTGTTTTTGCTTGGGCTGATGAGTAATCAAGGCAAGGATAGATGTATATGTTTAGGTGTAAACTCTAATTCTTTATGTCCTTTTGTTGTTAGAATGAGGAAGTAAATCCATGCCTACAGTGCAAAGATTGAACTTTGGGCTTCCTGGGCTGTGCTAGTGTTTGACGATTTAATTGTTAATTGATTATTGTGAATTAGTTTGATTGATAGTGGTTTTAGTGAATGATTTAGTCTTTTGTTTGCTCAAGTTTAGCTTCTAGTTGTTTTCCATGATAATGGATGATAAGAAGAGTGAGGATTTTGGTTTTTTTTTTTCTAAGGAAGGATGATTCAACTTAGGAACTAGTTATTTTGTGTTCAATTCAGTGAATTTGTTTGTATTTCGCACTGTTAGATGCTAAGAGCATCTTACCTCAATTAGTTTCGTTTATGCAGTTTCTTTAAACCTTAATAGATAATGTCTCATTTTCATTGTGCTCTTAGATCTGTTACTTGTTTGGAATTTGAAATCTAAGTACAGCAGATCCATGTGATAATATGGTCCATAGCTTGTTTTCTTAATGCAATTTCCTATAAACGAATTTCTTACTTTGTGGCTAACTTTGGGCAAAATGATACTTGATCCATGATAGATTTCACAATTGAGGAAATGTGACAAGTGTTTTACATACAAGCCTCCCAGGGCTCATCATTGCCGGGTCTGCAGAAGGTGTGTTTTGAGGATGGTAGGTTAGGCTAAAATCTTTTTTGCAGTAACTGTTTGGTTCACAAGTTTTTAAGTTGATTATGAATAGATTGATGGATTATGTTCTCTTTAAAATTTGTTGCAGGATCATCACTGTTTATGGATAAATAACTGTGTTGGTTATTTGAACTACAAGGCCTTTTTTATACTTGTTTTATATTCGACCATAACTAGCATCTATTCTTCGGTAGGTTTATTCTGGTTCACTCGTGCTTGTTCTGATATAACTTGACTGACTGAGATTAAAATCGATGATTTTGGCATGCTCAGGTCATGATAATCAACCATGCTTTTCAAAAGAACTGGAATTTCGGTGGAAGAATTCCTATGAAGGTTGTTTCTGTAAGTGGATATTTAATCTTTAATGGCAATCTTTTGAATGTTTAGTTCTATTAGCTATTTATGACTATCTTCAAACAGGGATAACCCAAGTACATAATCTGTATACGAGTGAAGCCGGGAAAAAGATGACGTAGGAAGGAAAGGTAAAAGATAGCTAACACACCCAAAGGCTGGTTGTCTAGGCCGAAAAGCCAGAAAAAGAGAACAAACTCTTTGTAAAATTATCAATATACCAAAAAAATTTCTTGTTACAGTAGTAGCAGTCCTTAAATACTAGCAAAACCCTAAGTAAAATAAATCTTAGCCCTTAAAAATAACTAAATCTTAGCTGTCCAAACTACCACAATAAATAATGCATAAGTAAACAATTAAAAGAAAAACCCTAATTATATGAAAGCTACTGCAGTTCTAGCTCCTGCATCAAGAGATAGGAATAAAGAATAAAAACCCAAAAAACCAAGATCTAAAAGTTCTTTTATTTTGTTATCCGTGCTGTTTTGTTCCTTTCCACTCTAATTCTAGATATGCAAGGTTTATTTTAGGTCGAACACCCTTAAATCATGACATTTGGGTTTATTAAAAAATCTGACAGAGTGTATTTTAGGCTGTTTCTGGAGCAATGATGTTTGGCTTGAGCATAACATTTGGAACTCTTTTGGGTTGGCATATTTACCTGATGTCTCGCAATATGACAACCATAGAAGTGAGTTTTCAATTCTAAAGTCAGATATGCAACATGGTTAATTTTTGTGGTTATTGATAATAACTAGAATGGATGTCTTTCCAGAATTATGAAGGAATACGAGCGGCATGGTTGGCCAGGAAATCTGGACAGAGTTATCGACATCCATTCAACCTTGGTGTTTATGAAAATATCACATCGGTCTCTCTCTCTTTCTGTCAGTAGCCATTTGTTTTTGTCCCTCTAATCGCCTAAGATGCTAAGTAATCTGCTTTTGATCAGGTATTGGGTCCAAACATGCTGAAATGGTTATGCCCCACAGCAGTAAGCCATCTAAAAGATGGAATGAGCTACCCAACTGCACATGATAGTTGATATATATTTCTGGGTTTGTGATCACCTCTAAAAAATTAGTGGATCTGTCCATTTTTTAACAGCGTGTAAGGATTGGCAGTTTGTTTGTCCTATGATACAATTATCGGAGGTAGCAGAGGCTAGACAGCTGACTGGAAGCAACTAGAAAGCTCTTGGATGAGCTTGGCATGTGTTCAACTTAAAGAAGATCAATCATAGTTTTTGATATCCAACAAATGTAGGAAATTTTAGTGAGATAAGCCACTGTTTATTTACACCTGCTAGAGTCCAAGCCATGGTGTTGCTATACGAAAGAATTATAAGTTGTATGTTAAATTTTGTCATGTAATTAGCACATACATACCAGATTGCTTGAAGTTCATGGAAGCCAAATAACCTAGACCATGCTTCCAAAGTTTCTTGTCATGAAGATTATTCCAGCTGTATTTTTGATAAAGGTTTTTCAGTCTGTTCCTAACACTCAATCAATCGATTGAATATTTTCAATCTACGTACTCCAGCCCCAAAACTGTTTTGAGATACTGCTGGAGCTGGAGATATATGGACGACTATGACTAGATGGCTGCTTGCATAGAAGAATTTGGGTCATGGATTCGGTATGACACATGATGGTGAGGGAAATTTGACTTATATTTAGGCACGAGTCTTTTATTTGTATTAGAATAAATCAAATGGAAGGCCATAACATTTTGTGAGCATTTTTGACACCTAATGGTGGTGAATTCTTGGAATTTAGGTCACCCTTGAGCACAGACATAAGGCGTCGGTAAATTCAGGACAGAACACGCGGGTTTTCTTTGGAGTATCGGTCTTTAGTAGACAACTGAAGAACTAGAGTCAAAGCAACATTAGCAAAGGGTTAGTAGGAAATCGTTGCAAGGCGCTAGCTTTGTGCAGAGTGCTGCAGAAATTTATGCTTTCTTTTGCCTTCCTTACTTCCTGTTTTCTCATTACCTTTTGTGGGGAAAGCTAAACTAATTGAATCCTCTACGTCCTCAAGGGATTAGCCTATAGTTTTAAATAACGGTCATTATGTTATATAATGGCTGTTATGTAATGATTTCGAAGTATGCCGTTATCGTTATTTTAGTATTATAGTAAGCTGCGATCTGCGATGACGACTGTGATCGTTTTTTCAATCATGATTTAAAACTATGGATCAGCCTATCCTATGTCACTAGTCTTCTTGTTAGCACAGGAAATGTCACTAGATTTTGAGTAACGTGCTATTCTGTATGCACAGAGATGGTGGAGTGTTGGATGAATCCTCGTTTGTCCATGAGTCTTACCTTTTCTCTTCATCGGACGGGGCAGGATATGGTAGTTCACAACCTCGCGATTTGGTGAAGGGGGAAAAAATTGAAAGAGAGAACACTTAAACCCACAACTCCTGTCCATATTGGCAACAGCATGATGATTCACTTGAATTATAATCTCATGATGGAAGTTTTGTCTGTAAAAAACGTGGACGATAGAACCATTCAGACGTTGAAAAACTCTGTGATGGAGATAAAGTATTAATTGACGAGGAAGACAACATTATGAGAGCTAGGAGGTAGAGTACGATGATGCTGGGCATACAGACATGTACGCATATCGCTTCAAGATATAATTATAATTATGCAGACTATTTGCGTGTTCTAGTTGAGGACAATTTGTTCTCATTCTTCAACGATTTTCTGATTCGCAAAAGCGTTTTTCAGCCATCTAAATCGAACACCTGCCAATAATTGAGAGAAGCTTTTGAAGTTGAGTAGAGAAAAGCATGTCAATCTTCTTTCCTTGCATGATCTCATTGCGCAACTGTTAGTGCTTTGACGGTTTCTTTGATGTCTATCTTTGCTATTGTGACTGTAATTATGAATTTAGGGCAATTATTCAAACTCTCTGTAATTTTGACAGGGGAAACATGGTTTTCTTAGTAAATTATTCTTGTGATTTACACGCGGAATGCATTAGGTACAGATGGCTTGATTTGGACAAGATTAAGGACATAATTTATCTAAGATTCATTTGGAATAAACTAGAAATGTCACAAGATTCTATACAGGAACAAAAGTGATGCCCATCTATTTTGCATGATTCGCTTGCATCTGCCTTTTTACCTTTCTGCTATATATTTTATTCCTGGAAAGATTCTATACAGGAACAAAAGTGATGCCTATCCATTTTTTTGGCTTTTTCTGAATTTTTTATTTGTTTTGGTCCCTATTTTATGATCATACCTCTATTTTGATCATTAGAGTTTTGGTTATGCGATTTTTAGCCTTACATGCTGCAAAGTTTTTTTTTTCATTTCACTCATTATATTATACTTTTATTTTGATCCTTCAAAGTTTAAAACTATTGTCATTCGGCTCATGTTTATTGTTATATTTTAATTTTCTTTAAAATATTTTATTGAATTATTAAAAATAAACTCTTTTTTAATACATTAGTTGAGTAAATTAGCATGTCTATTTATTTAAATATTTTTTTTGTCTTATGAGCAAATAATCTGATTTTTTTTTTTGGAAACAATTTTGTTGTATTTAGGAGTGTAAGTGAAAAGATATTATAAATTTTGATATCAAATATGGATATGGAAGAATGACGAAACAGAATACCTAAAAAAAACTAAATTAAACGTTTTGTTTTATTTTTATATGGATAATGCAATCTCTAAAATTTCAATGTCCCTGAGATGGTGTTTTTTTTTTTTTTTTTTTTTTCTTCCCCATGTTATGTGATCTTTAGCTTGTTTTGATAATTGAAGTTTTGTTATGTGTGATTTTTACTTCTGTGGCATGCATAATGAGTTTTTTTATTTTACTATTCCTATTCTCTTTTTAGCTTTTAGTGAATTCTTTTATTATTTTGATATGTGTTTTGTGATCTTTATTTTATTTTGATCATTAAAATTTTGTTATTTTATATGTATATAAAATCTCTATTATTTTGTATTGTGTCAAGCTAAAACAAAAGTTTTTAGGTCCTCGACTCAATTTTTTTTTTATCCAATAATATCTAACAAGTTTGATGATATCAAGACAAATAAATTATAGATAAAAAACAGATTATAAAAACTATAGCCATTCAAGATTCAAGAAGTTGTCACATTATTATTTTAATTGTTAACTGTTATACATATTTTTGATAAAATTTCTGATCGTATCAAGTAACATTATATTGCTCAACTTCGTAGGATTTTTTTTTTTTTGAATTTTTTTCCTATAGTTTTTTAAATAATTATTTTGCACAATATGTTTTTTTATTGCAGTCATCGTTTTGTATTTTTTACAAGATTAAGAACATAAATTATCAGAGAAGATTAATTTTGAATAAACTAGAAATGTCACAAGATTCTATACAGGGACAAAAGTGATGCCAATAAATTTTGCATGATTCACTTGCATTTGCCTTCATACCTTTCTGCTATTTTGTTTCTGGAAAGGTTTAAAAGAATTGTAAAATATGTATTTAAGTCACTTAGAATCTTGCTTAGTGTTTGGCGAACTATTGTCGATTAATCTGGTGGGGTCTTTTTTTTAAATCTAAATTATAATGCCAAATGACATCAGTCTCCCACAATGTTCCTCCTTTTGGTTAGTGGATGCTCTTCTCATGTTATTGTTGGTGTGCGGAACTAATGTTCACTGCGGTTCTTCCTCAATCCCTGGATAGGGCAGATGACATTAGGCAGCATAAAGAACTTGACGTGAGACACATGCTTTGAGTCTCAGGGTTCAAATTTAACAAATATGACAGTCATGTTCTTGAAAACAGGACAGGAATCACAGGATCAAAATCCACCCGCTGTTATCTTAGAAAGTATAACTTTCATTGCTTAGGATGAGTCTCTGTATTTTAATTTAATATTTTAAATTTAACGAATATAACAAAACATGATAAAAGAGAACATGAAAGGGTTAACATCCTATCGATTTTTTTACCCGCGTTAAACCGTAGATCGGACATAACATATAAAATTATTTTCTTAAAATTATTTTAGTTTAATATTCTGTGTTATATTGTGCATACACCAAAAGATATCAAATCAAAACTGAATAAAAATTCATTTAATTTTATATTTTTTTAATCAAAATTTTATATTTGACTGATTATTCTTTATATTTTTCATAAATTTTTGATTAAATTAAAAAAATTATTTATTTATCTCCATCCACAAACTAAAAAATTTATGATAGTGTAAAAAATATCTAAATCAATGGATTCTTAGCTAAACACTTATTTTGTAAATTGTTTTTTCTAAATATTTTTTTGCCTTAAGAATTTTAATTAAAAAAAAGACCAAGAAAAAAAGGACCAAAGTGACCAAAACGAAACAAAAAACGGGATCAAAATTAAATAAAAAATATTTTTAGACTAAAAAAATAATGTTTTAAAAAAAGGATCAAAATGTAATGTTATGAAATCTTTCATAATAAATGTTTTTAAAATATTTGAAAACTATAAAAAATATCATGGTATAGTAAAATAAGTAATGCACTTGAGTCTTCGTAAATAGTATGAATAAGCCTTGGTGAACGAGTGTTCTAAATAGTATTGTAAATAGTAACCGATTGTTTTACTTTAGTTTTTTTGTTAAACTATGGACTTGTTGCGTGACGTCTTGTCATAGACTCATGCAAAAGCATATATCTATCTTACAATTTTCAAGCCAAAAATTATGGATAACGCTGATAATAATTGTCTATTTCTATAAAATTTGGGAGTTACTTGCTATAGATTCAAAAGATTCATAAGTGAGCGATTGAGGATGAATCTTCGATAATACTCGTTATCATTAAACAAATGTAGAAAAGGCTCAAAATGATTAATCTTGAAGATATTTCATAAAATAGTAAAATGAATAGTGCATTTAAATTTTGGTGAATAGTGTGAATGAGTCTAGATGAACAATGTTTCAAATAACATGATAAATAGTAATCGATCGTTTTACTTTAGTTTTTTTATTAATAATTTATGGACTTATTGTGTAACATCTTGTTATAGACTCGGACGAAAACATATATCTATCTTATCGATTACCAACAGTTTTTAAGCCAAAAATTGTGGATAACAATGTTGATCATAATTGTTTTCCTTTAATGAAATTTGGGAGTTACTTGCCATAGATTCAAAAGATTCATAAGTGAGCGATTGAGGATAAGTCTTTGATAATACCTGTTATCATTAAACAAATGTAAAAAAAGCCCGAAATGATTAATCTTGGAAAATATTTCTAGCCTGGAATTGTGCTTTGTGGTGATTTAATCATCGTGTTCTTGTACCATGTAATATTGTTTATTTTAATTTTTTTTTATCTAGATATAATATAAAAACAAACTTTATATTACTTCAAATTGATACTATTTAAAATTGAGACAAATCAACCATTTTATCTAATGTTTAATCAATTATATGATTACAAGTGGTTAATGAAGATAAATGAAAATTAAGAATGATTTATCTCAAAGAGTAATTAAGAATGATTTATCTCAAAGAGTAGTACAAATGTGGTTAAAATAAAGAATACTTAATAATACAATATCACGATGTGTATTTCACCTATGCTATGGTGTTCCGCATCTTAGTGCTTTGATTTCATCATACTGGTTTTTTACATCCACTTCTGTTTTAAGAATTTTATATTATTTATAAAATAATTATTAATACTCATTCCATAAAAGAAAGATAGATAAAAAAAATATAATAATAATAATAATAAAAGAAAAAAATTTAAAAAAAAATTGAGCTGAACTAGAAATATTTTTATTATTTTCGTGGATCCAGATATGATTATATATATATATATATATATATTTCTTTCCAAAAGTAAGCCCATGTATGTTTAGAGTATTTTAAAATTTCTGCTTTTGTTCTTGTCTTTCTCTGTGTCTTCATCAACCAGCTTGCAATTATTTCAAAAAGACTCGAAAGACTTGTACGTTGTAACTCATAGTAATTCTTTATTCCTTATTGCCAATCTGTCATCATCCTTTAAGCAAAGTAATATATATATATATATATATATATATATATATATATATATATATATATATATATATATGCTGCATTTTGATCAACTTTCGATCATGGTCAAAGCGAAGACTGAACCTGTTGGAATATTTTTATAAAAAAATAGTTTTAATAATTTATTATTAATTATTAAATAATAGTATCCTGTATTTATTAACAACAATTTACGAAATCAATTTATTTGATTTAGAAGCAGCCTAATTATGTTTGACAAAAAATGGTTGGTAATGTTTTGTGAGGTTTTGCTTCTCATGTATTGGTACAATCAATATTTCCTTCAAGATGATTTATGAACTATTTCTTGAGACTATTGCTTAATTGCTAGCAAAATAATAATGATGATGATGATGATGATGAAAGTAAGCAATGCTTGTATATATAAGTAGTTTTAGATTCTTATATAAAAGATGATAGTGAACAAAATAAAATAAAATTAGTTGTTTTGTATGAATGATTATTTAATTAGTCATGAATTGGTTGATTGCTTTTTGTCGTGTGGCATTACTTGTGGTATGAAAAACACTAGGCCTAAGCATAA